TTGAAATTGCATCCTCAGTACTTGAGCACCTAAAAGGTAACTGCCCTGTCCCTCTGGGGATAGAGGCAAAATTATAGAGCCCATGGCTGTGAAAAGAATACTTGTGCAAAGTTTCACTCCTTTTTGGACGCCACAGGGCAGTGAGGAAAAGGCCTGGCCTGTTACCTAGGGGGCAGCTTTGAGAGCCTTGGGTGGGGCTGAGGTCTGCCTCATGGACATCAGCAGAGTGGACAGTCATTCGTTGTCCCCTTGACAGTCCACTGTTGGCGTGCTCTCAGTGTGGCCAGGCAAGTTGTATGAGGATATAGGAAAGAATGAAGCGATTCATATTCCATGTTAACAATAGAATTCAGACTTTATCGTGTTCTCGAACTGTCTTCTAGGGTTTACACTGTGACTTCGCCTGCCTGATGTTCAAGCACCTGCTGCACAAACCATCAGAGCAGAGAGTCAAAGAAATAATTATCAATGCTGTCAGGATAGAACAGGTGGGTGCTAGGTGAGGGTCACTGGTGCTTGCTTGAGGATATCTTCATGCCTCGGGTACTCAAATTGTTTTTTGTCTCTAGGAGTTCCTCACAGAAGCCTTGCCTGTGAAGCTAATTGGGATGAATTGCACTTTGATGAAGCAGTACATTGAATTTGTGGCAGATAGGCTTATGCTGGAGCTGGGCTTTAACAAGGTAAAGCATTGTTTGTAGTCTTCCGCTTCTTTTGAAATTGGAGTTTTGTACTTAGGGTCTCTTTTTTTTTTGTACTTATGTCTTGATGTGAACTTTTTCAGGTTTTCAAAGTAGAAAATCCATTTGACTTTATGGAGAATATTTCACTAGAAGGGAAGACTAACTTCTTTGAGAAGAGAGTAGGCGAGTATCAGAGGATGGGAGTGATGTCAAATCCGACAGATAATTCTTTTACCTTGGATGCTGACTTTTAAATGAACAGAAGATGTGCTTTTATTTGGCTGATTTTTTTCCCCCCTCCCTTATCACCCACCTGCCATCCCCCAAAATCAGCTAAAATGAATCCACCAGCTACACCATTGTCCATACGTTCATTAATGGCATCTAAAAAACCGTGTAGCTACCTCAGAATCCTTGTTGGCTTTGGCAAGCAGCTGTCCAGCTTCACAGCACTGACGGTGACGATCCGGCTTC